AGACCAGCTCTCATATAACTCAGTAGAGAAGAAGAGTAGAGAAGCCTGGTCTCGTATGTCAGCCAACACTCAGTAAGATCTCGAGTTGACTCATGACATTCTCACGTTCATTCGGTGACTTTTAAACTGTGTTCTTGAGTGTCATTGTATATTACTATTCTCCTCATGTATCTCTTAGAAATAACAATCAATTTCAACTTTCCTTTATAAATCTATTTGCACCTAAGAGCCTTTATCGTATATAGGAAGTGGAACCCACTAACAAGTCTCAAGAGTTATTTAATGGAAATGCTTAGCTCGTCTTGCATGGCTTCACACCAAATAAAGCCAAGAAGATGCCACTCTTTCTGACATAGGTAATAATCAAGCAAACGATGTTATATATATATATATATCAAGACAATTCAAAGGAACTAAACCTAGTTTGCAAATGATCCAAAAACTCAGCCAGATGTATAAAAATCAACGAGCTTAATGCAATATCGGGAGCTCTTGGCATGGCTAATATAATTGACATGCTGTTAATTACTGGCATTGTAAGCATAATTAAATTCCTCCATGTCGAGACTTGAAATAGAGATTGTCACATTGTGCATGTCGCCGAATTTTTGAAGAGCTAGTACTTTAAAGTGATGTTTGGAAATCAATGAGATGAATTCCATGATAGGATCCATCAAGACTAGAAACCTTGAATGAGAATAAAAGGAGCAACCCTATGAGAAACACAAGGTCAAAATAGAACATTATTACAATCAACAATATATTTCAAGACTTCTTTTGAAGTGAATATATTTCAAGACTTTAACATATCAAAGAACGAGAAACCAAGCTTATTAATGCTTCAGGGTCTCTTTCACCAATGGTTAGAAGTAGGGAAAAAAAACACGACCAAAAATAGAGAACGTAAGTAGTTTGGTCTCACATTAGTAAGCCAAAAAGAGATTGGGAAATGAAGTTTAGATAAGAAATACTTACACACCCTTACATACAGAACCCTACACATGAGATGTCACAGCAAGCAACTCAGGGTTTATACTATGAACTCATGTTTTATCAAAAAATGTCGTCATAGATTGAGATGTACGCAGCAGAATTTGAGAAGTCAAGACAAACCCAAAATCTGAAAATTTTCAATTTTTTTATAAAAACTAAGATTCAATGATCCAAAATAAGGGTTCAAATTGATGAACAATGCAGGTTTTAAATGTTAACATTCTCAAAAATAAAAAATAAAAAAAAATGCAGGTTTTATTTAGTAGCACAGTGCAATGTGTAAAGTAGAGACTCACATATGGATCCAACCATGGAGGCAGTACTCGAGGGACACCATAACTTCTGTATTAAAAGGATGACTAGCATGTTTAGCTAGAAATCTCATGACTCGCAGTCCAATACTTCATCACGTAAGGAACTACCAAATAAAGTCAGTTGCCTGACCTACTGAAGAGAAAGACCACAACAACTGAGTGTCTTGTTTTATAACATCACAATTCACAAGCCAGAAATGGAGTGCACCATGTAAAATTGAAAGTAGTACGAAATGGACGATTTACCATAGTCAACAAGAAACAATGCAGTTGATAGCCTATAAAGACTAGCCCATTCTCTGATATGCGATAACATACAACCATTTTGGGAGGCTCATGATAGTATAACAACTTGTGAAACCACGAGTGTTGTGCTAGAGGAACATAGATTACTCTCTAGAAGCCTAAAATAGACATCTAGAACTGAACGTCATCAACCTTTCATCAAGTTGTAGCCTTATCAAGTTGTGATATGCATCAACTTGAAACTTTTTTCTAGTAGAGAGTTTTAAGCTGTAGCCTCATTGTCCTTATAAAGACAACTTGGAACACATTTGTGAAAATAATGCAGATATAAATATAAGATATTGATATATTATATATAATATATAGTATATCATAAGATATTTGTATATGTTATATATAGTATATAGTATAATATAAGATATTTGTATATGTTATATATAATATTTATATTATTATTTATTATATTATAAAGATATTGATATATTATATATAATATATAGTATAACATAAGATATTTGTATATGTTATATATAATATATAGTATAATATAAGATATTTGTATATGTTATATATAATCTTTATATTATTATTTATTATATTATATATAATATTTATTTAATATAATAAATATATTATTTATTATATTTATTATATATTATTTAT